AGTCAATATTAATCAAGCAACAGTCAAATTATTTGGAGTCTAGATCCCAACGGCTTCGCACCATGCCCCGCTCCATTCAATGGACAGGCATGTATGTGGCACAGGCATGTCTACCTTATTCCAATCACAGCCCTTCAGCTGTGACGAATCACACATGTCACCCACACTCGTTCCCAAACGGCTAACAGCTCTCCATAGCAGGTCTAGTGCAGGCGCAATATTGGTACCATGGCTCTGTATTCAATAATTGTTCACCTTGATAGCTCAGCTTAAGCGCCCACATCTACAGCTTTTGGTGTTGTGAGACGTCAGCTGGGTTCACTGTCAAGGGATAGTACCACTGACGAGAATGGACCAGGCCGGTCCTTAGCCATGACTTGCAATTCCTTCTGTAACTGGACTAAAGGCTGGGGTTTCCATGGTATCACAACACCCCCAGAGGGTAATAAAAGACCACACCCTCCCACTCTCAAGAACAAAAGAGCACACCAACACAGTCGACAAAATCTCGCGAACCTCGTTTTCATCCACAAAAGCAGACCCTCAAGATATGGCAGAACAAAAGCAGAAGGATGTGCTCGCGCACATGGCCAGGATGTCCAGGTCGCTGCGTGAGGCAGTCGCCGCATCCATGCCATGTGCGTCGGAGCAGTATGTTACGATTTCCATGCCTGGATTGGTGATCGATACCTCTTCGAGCTCCCCGTAAGTACTCGCAACCTCAACCGGTCTCGAAGCTTTTGCCCATCCACAACGGCACGCTGATGGTGAATCAAAAAAAAAGGTACATCTCGAAGGAACCTGTCACCTCGGGTAGGCGCAATCAAGTCATTGTCAACGAGGCCAAACTGGTTGATAACATGATTCCTCTTGACCAGATCATGGTACGTGTCACACAACTGGATACAAGGGTGAATGGCGCGGTGATATTGACAATTTACCACCAAGCTCGGTCCGACAGGCAAAAGCGTCACCAGGAGCTACGTCAGTGCGCTGGACTTTCTCAAACCTCGCGACACGACCATCGGTCTTTTCGGCAAGGGGAACAGTGAAGAAAAGACCGAGTACAGCGAGGCTTTGAAGTTTCTGAAGCAAAAGGTTGAACCGCCTTCCTCTTCTGGTCTGAAGGGCGCGAATCTCGCAAACGCCGACTTGGAAGGGACTGTTGTTGGCAGATATGTTCGCAAGCAGCTTGCCTGGGCTGAAGCTCAGGGGAACTGGGACGCTGTTCGTGATGAAGCGGAAGGTGAGTCAAAATGACATTGTTACCACATTTAGCTGCCATGTGACTGATATAATAGTATTTTAGAGGACATTGAACTTACTGGGGAGAGTCAGACAGCTGCTGCCATGAAGGAAAAGAAGCTTCTGATCCGCAAACGCAAGGCAGAGCTCCATGCTCGCTGGATGGATTGGGTGGTAAACGGTGACAAGTTGCAAGTCGACCATTACTTTGCGCTTGTTGACCGTTCGGATCTCATGGCTCGGGTGGAGAAGGCCAAGGCAAGTTGTTCAAGAGTCTGCCCGTAATCACTCATTCTTCTTCGGGTTGCTTACCAACTGACAGGAGGCCACACGTGATATGCTGGTCCTTGATCCCAAGGACGGCACAGACTGGGCTCGAGTGTATCTGCAGCCGGAACATTGGTTCGTCATTGCATCCAGGCTTTCCTATGGGAAGTGTTGCTCACTCAAACTCACCGTTGCAGGGCTCGGTATTGCCGCACCAAAGCCGACAATTGGGGAAAGCGAAATCCTGTCAACCTTGAACTGCTGCAAATGCAGATTGCCAAGCTTGAGCAGGAGGAGATTGCCTACACGGCTTTTGAATCGGTATGTCTCTCAAATTCATGGAAACCAAAAAACCGCTCGCTGACTTGAATGGGATTTTCAGTGGTCGAAAGAAAACCTCAAAGACGAAGCAACCTTTCAGCTCACCACACCGAGTGGATATAATCACCTCGAGCACTTGGAGGCGGTGAAGAAGGCCGAGATCGCAGAGAAGAACAAGAGCGAAGCTCTTGCCAAGTTTGACCCAGCCACTGAGCCAACTCTGGCGACGGCACGGGCAAAGGTCGCCACTGAAGAGGCTGCCCTTGAAGCGGCCAAATCTGCCGATCCGAAAAAGTCTGACGATGAGCTGAAAGGGGCGGAGCAGAAAGTCATCGAGGCTAAAGGTGAACTGGAGCAGGCGACCATCAAGGTCAAACAAGATCTCACCAAGAGCTATGACGAAACTATCACGAAGGCCGCCACTTCGGCCGAAGAGCACCCCGACCATCTTCTGGTGCTAGCCCTAAAGAAGGTCAACGACTGGGATCAGGCATTGCGAGACGCCCAGAATCTGACTGACGGCAAGCAAGAGACAACGGCAAATACAGAAAACAAGACATCCGCATGGGACATACTTCTCGGCATAGCGACGAAGGTTGAGCGAGTGAACCGTGCCCAAAGAGAGGTTGATGCTGCAAAGAAGAATGTGATGGAAATGAAGAAGCAGAGAGACGACTTCAAGGTCAAGGAGGGCATCTTCAACATGCGCACCAAAAACTCCACAAACACCAAACTAGCAGCAAAGGAGGACTTGAAGAACATCCAAGCCCAGCTCGTCACCTTGCGGGCCCAACTCACAGAAGGGAGGAAGTCCACTGTCTCTACCCGCCAAACCATCGTCGATGTCTCTAAGAAAAGCGGCGGCGCCGAAAACGACCTCGAACTCGTGCGCAGCGACCCGGTTCTTGACCGCCAAACCGGCATCGCCACCTCCAACACCGGGGTCGACCAAGACAAGGCAGATGTTTGGACCAAGATTTCCTTTTCGGTCTCTGGAAAGTCTGAGCAGACCAGCTCATCAGCCATCGCCTACCAGGCCGGGCTCGAGGCCAAGTACGGCAACTGGTTCACAAACGTGTCAGCCAGCACTCAAGTCAGCGGTACCAGTGAGAAGCTCCAAAAGTCCATGGCGAAATGCGACATGTCTGTTTCTTTCGATGCGCTCCTGGTCCAGATCCAACGCCCATGGCTGCACGCAGAACTCTTCTCCGACTTTGACGTCGACGCCTCCAAGGATCTGAGCCCCGGTGCGCAAGTGGTGCAGAGCTGCATCTCTGATCCCAGTCCCGATAACGGTATCAAGCTCAGGCCGTATGGGACATTCCCGGCCTACCCAACTGCTTTTATTGTCGCGGCCGACACCACTCTGGAAGTATGACCATGCTCCAGTCCCTTACACATGCAGTCAATCTTGTCAGCAAACCGGCTAACAACCAGAAACAGCTCCACAGCACCGATTCGGAAGCCGAGGAGATGGCCTCACAGCTGTCTACCGAGTCCAGCTTCAACATGAACCTCGGCCCTTGGGGTGTCCGTGGCTCGTAAGTTTTGCTTGCCACTGTTTTCAATGAGTGTATCCCTTTGTAGAGCAGACAGAGCTAACATCAAATCGTTCAAAGTGCACACTTGAAAACGGACAGCAAGAATGCCAACCAGCGGATGGAGACCAAGAATGGAAGTCTCCGGATCTCGTTCCAGGCCCCGCAGATCATCGGCTGGGTCAGCGAGATCCTCCCCGAGCTCCCGCGGAAGACGACGATTGGAGGTCTTCTTGGCGTGCCTAACCAAGCTTTCCGGGTACGCTGAGTGCTGTTTTTGCTTTTACTAATTCCATTTGTCTTGTCTCCTTCGTTTTGCTTTTGTGGGCAATCTTGCTTTTTTAAACCTATGTAAGTTGTCACTTCTGCTGTGTGCCTATGTGGGCTCCGTCATCGGATTGCTACCTAGGTACCTTATGTCATCCCTCCGAGTGTGTGGCGTTGGCACACCTCCGCTGCGCATAGTCATCGCCCCGAGTTTGCGTTGTATTCGAGGCTGTCAGACGGAATTCGGGGAATTTCAAAGTGGCTGCCTGGATGCGTCAGCAGCTGGATCTTGGGGTGTTTAGCGAGATGCCATGGTAGATATGTCGGTGTAGAAAGCTTGATGATGCGGGGTTGGGGTACCACAACAGGAGGCTGGAAAGAAAAGGGGTCGGATTACCTAGTTGGAATAGCTCAATGCATTGAGAGGTCCTGAAGCGGGTGAGGAAGTAGTCTAGGTGCTAATGCATCTGCTCGGTGGCATAGATAGTAGCAAGTCTAGCACGGGGATATACCAGTATTGCTCAGCATCATCGTCGGGCAGACGAAGTGAATTCTCTATCAAGGACTTCAACATTGTTCAATACTGGAATGCCGCGCGGGCGTATGAAAGCGGAAGTAGTCTCACTGTGGGCCAATTGGAACTAAAGAATGGAGAAAGTGATGATATTTGGAGGCTTCTAGACTCGGGAACCACTGTTAAGGTACGATATGGTCTAGCTCATCAGCTGATGTCAGAATCATAGTTTCTTTCTGCAAGAGCCCCGTTTTAGGTGAGGCTGCTAACTGTTTTGTGCAGGCGGTAAAGTCTCAAGAGGACCGGAGTCAGCGCACACCTTACTAACCTGGAAATCTTGCCCGAAGGAATCTAGCAAAGAAACGTGACTGGCTGGCATAAGTTGTGTTGTGCACGGAACAGCCTGCCCTAGAAAGACTTTCTATCTATTTGTGTTCTGACTTGTCATTTTGTGATCCTGGACTGCAACCCCATCCCATCATTCTTCAAAGATCCCAAAACAGGCTTCACCATGATGTTCTCCACACTATAACATACACACCTACGGAAGCCCTCGGACGGTAAGCAAAGTATATTGCATCACCTGGCAACTTTTCCGTTAGAAGTTGCGTTTGCATCTGTCAGCTTCCGAGTATTCATCCCTGGCTGCGCCACGACATTCATCGTCTGACGCAGCTGTAACCCATTCGAGTCTAGCATCATCCAAAGACTGCGCTACCCTACCGTTGATTGTCTTCAGCTTTCAATAAAGCCGTGGACACACTACAGTCCGTGTCAATGACAACTGAGATAAAGAGATACAAGGCCAAAAATGGTAAAAGATATTGTCGTGATGAAGACACGTTACTTGGACGAGCTGGGAATCGAACCCAGGACCTTTCGCATACAAAGGATCCTTGCATCGTGATGAAGCAAGGGTGAGTATGCTAAGCGAACGCTCTACCAACTGAGCCACACGCCCTTTTTTGATATCTTGACTCGAGTGAGTGGAGATGGATGGACAGAATGCATCAACCCAGAGCCTATGTACCCCATAGTTAGGATTCCCGAGACACCTCTTCCGAGAACCCATCCACGAACACCTAGTAATTAGTGTCCTTTGACCCAAGAGTCTTTAGGGACCATCAATAGGGAAAGAATACTAGGAAGATATCATTTGTAAGATCTTCGGATAGTAATGAACCAAACCAATATTTGCATCTGCAGACTGCAGTCAGACTTTGACCCACTCACCCACTCTTGTCTGTGAGGACCTAGTCATCTGTCGAGACCAAAGTTCAACTCCGTCTGGAACGGGAATAGGACTGTGTCTAGACTCTCGATCTCTCAAAGGCTGAGGTATGTATCTGGAGGACTCTCAGTGTATCAAACCAAAAGTATAAATCAACCCTCTGCCCTCCTCTCATGCCCTCACAATTCCTCACCATCACCATCATCACCATCAAACATCCAGCTTCTTACCAAGCCAAACACTCCCCACCAATCTTTCAAAATGCAATTCTTCACCGCCATCCTCGCCATCGCCACCATGGCCGGCCTCACCGTCGCCGCCCCGGCCCCTGAACCCTCCCCCGAGGCCGCTCCCCAAACCCCCATTGACCTGTAAGCCAACCCCCCATTCAACCCCCCGTCATCCCCATCAAAACTAACCCCCCCTTTTTTTTCCCACCAAAGCGAGAAGCGCCAATCCCTCGGCGTCTTCGTCACCGCCGACATCAACTGGGGCGGCCGCTCCGAGCACCTCATCGTCGTCCGCGGGCAGTGCCTCACCCTCGGCAACGGCTGGCCCAACGTCATCTCCTCGTTCGGCCCCGACAGCGGCCTGTCCTGCACCATCTGGGAGTAAAGCCCCCCTTACCCTACCCCCCTCCACCACAGCCTATTGACAAGGACAAATAGTAACAACGGCTGCACCGGCCCCTCCTTCGGCCCCATCACCTTCCCCGGCATCGCCAACTTGGTCAGCATCGGCTGGAATGACAGGATCAACTCTTTCCGGTGCAACTAAATCCCGCTGGCTACCGCGGTCAAGGAGGTTTAGGAGGAGGAGGTGACAAACGGGACGGTGACAGAATGATCTGGCTTTTGTTGGAAGAGATCAGGCAGGGGTGGAGGATTCGATTCATGACATTCGTTTAAGCTCGACGGGGCTTTTTTTGCTTCTCTCAACTTGTTGGACCCTGCAGGTTTTGACTGTTTATTTTTTGATGATGAGGGTGATGGTAGAAAATTGAAGAGTGCTTTCCCTTTTGGGGGGGTTTCGAACATTTTTGGTCGTATGCTTCCTGTGATATTCTTACTGTGTTCCATTGACGGTGATGTCGCTTTCCTGATTTGTGGAGACAGACTGCTTACGTCGAGTCTTTCTGCCGACTAGAGTGTATGTGGCAGATGACATTTGACAAAGCCAAAGGCTTCATGAATCGGCACTTGGTGCTGACAGGCATGACGCAAAAGCAAACACAACAATGTTCAACTAACAGATAATGGAAAGTAAAAGAAGGCTACACTATACGTACAGAGTTGGAAACAATGTACATTTGCCATACGACCAACACTTTTTCTTCATAAAGCCTCAATCAATCCAACCTAAACGCCCTCGACCCCCTCCCTCTCCTGGGCACCACCGGCCCTCGATAAATGAACCCCGGGAATGGATCCGGGAAATCGGGATCCCAATTCTTCGCATTCAACATGTACATCTCAATGAGCACCTGCTCCGACTCCCGAACCGTCGGCCAGAAGAACATCGCGACATCCTGTTCCGTAGGCCAGACCATCGGCCGCTGCCTCAAGTCAAAAGCGTGGTTATTAGGCAAAAAGTGAGGATTCCCCACATTCATCCTCTGCAACTTGTAGTAAAACGCCCCGTTCTCCAGCATCGACCTCAGCAGCACCTTCTCCCCCCGCGTCTTGAGCGGGACCCCATCCGGCAGCGGCACGTCGCGCCTGGACGGCAGGATGTGCGACGTCGGACCCGGAGGGCTCATGAGGGGGAGCTGCATGGGATCGTCCCTGTTGGCGTGGTGGAACGAGTACCTTGTGTACATGGAGGTCCGTTGGAACTCCTTGGCCGTGTGGAGGTCAAAGAAGTGCCAGTAGTGAAACCAGTCCAGCCTCAGCAGGACCGGCATCCAAGCGTCCAGACACAGGGTCCGCGTGTTGGGGAAGTCGCTCAGGATGGTGAGCGTGTGCTGGTACTGGCCGCTGACGGTGATGGTGTGCTGGACCACCTTTCCGTACCATTGCCCCCCGGAATAGGGCGCCCGCGGGTCGATTGGCTGGTTCTGAGGCAGGCCTCGTCGCTGTCTCGAATGCCTGGTTGTCCACTTGGGAGGGAAGACGATGCCAGGTTGTCTGCCTAGCTTGACGAGATTGCTGTCGGCGTAGTCCCAGACAAACATGATCCGCCTTGCCGTGGCCCTAAAGATCAACTCAAAGGTGTCGATCGGGTCTCTCAGGAGGTTGTCCAGCAGGTTCACGTGGATCACGAGGATGTTTCTGCCGTAAAGGACAGCCAAAGCTTCATCACGAAATGTTCTCGACGTGAGGACAAGATTCACAAATGGGACCAATCCAGGTCCCATATTGTATCGATCGGGCAGCCCTGGGCCGTGCCTTTGGAGCCGTGCAAGACGACGGCCAACGGGCATCAAATTCTCATATATCATGAGCCGAATTTCAGGTGGCAACCTTCTCAAAGTCCCGAGTTGGTGCAGGTTGGCAGGTTGAGCTGGGGGTGCAGGAGGAGCTGGGGGTGCAGGAGGAGCTGGGGGTGCAGGAGGAGCTGGGGGGACAGGAGCCTGAGGCGCAGGCTGAGAAGCGGCCGCGTGAGCTTGTGCTGACTTGGCCATCACCGTAACGATATCCTCCTGGCTGAACCCCTGTTGTAAATAGTTCTCGGCATCGATCTCTTTAAATCCTTTCCGTAGTTTAGCTGACGGTTCGATCCATTCGTTTGGGCCCTTTTCTTCAGGGGTTTTCTCTTGCCATGTTTTTTCCAGCACATCGAGGTAAGACGCAGCGAATTGATCCTCTACAAACTTCAGACGATTGACGAGGGCCTCCTGGATTTTGGGGTTCTTGCATGAGATGGTAGGCGTGACCGGCCTGACTGATTTGGCAGAGCCAGAGACCCTAGAAGATGATGGGTAGGGTTGGGCGGTGGCCTTGGGGGTGGCCTTGGAGGCGCGTTTAGGGCGAGGCATGTTTGCAATGTCGAAATAAAAGTGATATCTATCCAGATTGAGATGCGAAAAAACGAAAACAATTGAGGCTTAACGAGTAGTGTATATCGATCATATACAGCAGTTGTCTCCATTGTTCAAAGAAGAGCACGGCACAAGAGATAGGTGTTTGTGGCATTGTTGCAGAAGGAGTCTTTCAGCAAGAGCGAGTCTGCTCAAAGACGACTTCCAAATGCGGAGACGGGCTGTGTGCTCAACAAGGAAACTCAAATAATTGATGGTAACCCATCTGCCAATCAATGGTTCGTACTCTCTTCTGCAGTTGCGTCCGAGGAACCCTTGTTTCGAATGACTGAAACACCGGTGATTTTGCATAGGTAGACGTGGCTATGTTAACAGGATATCGTATCCATCCCGGTTGATTTTGACCTGGTCACCACCAAGACCATACTTCCTCCGGACCAGCTCAAAGATGATCAGCCCGGCCGATGTGCTTGGGACTTGCCGTATGGTGTTCCACCAAAACCCTCGGTACAGCCATTGTCGCATGCTCAGCCCGGCCGTCTTGGCCTCGGCGGCACATTCAGCCCATGTTACTCGGTACGCATCTCTGTACGCTTTCCACATCCTCCTAGAGCTTCCCCCTTCGTTTGTTTTGAGCTTCCTGGCCTTGGCATCCAACGCCTCCAGTCTTTCCCAATGCTCCACCTGAATGTGCCCAAGCGGATGCAAGACCACCTGCTGCGCCACAGAAGCTCCCATCCCAGCAAGCAACAGGAACGCTGGCTCAATAGCATAATGAGGTCGAATAACGGTAGGCATCCCCACCTCCCCATCATCTTCTCTTTCTACCTCCCCCGTGAGCCTGTCCCTCGTCAAAGTAACCTTGCCATCCGATCCTGCCGGTCTCCTCTGCGACAGCAGGACAATCGCATCTTCCCCAAGACTCCCATAATACCACCCAACAAACCCATAGTATCCCTGCGCCTTTATCCACTCAAACAAACTGAAGAACACGGCGCTCCCCATGCTGTCCTTGACCAAAGTCAACCCCCACCCGGCAAAGATTCCCCTCGGCCCAATCTCCGCAAGCTTCTCCCGACTAAACGTCCACATGCTTCTCGGCCGGGCTATCCTCCCCTTGCTAGGATTGCTGCCATTGTTTCCGTTCGCGGTCTCGACCGCCTCAAGCTTGGTCGCACCCCCCATGGTAGTCCCACTCCCCGTCATCCCCGCTCCGCCCACTCCCAAATCATACCTCGCCTGCACAGCATCCAACGGCGCGGCAACAAAGCTCTGTATCGCGCCCGCCAAAAAGCCCGCGGTGAACGTCTCGGCAGGCGATGGTGGGGGATACACCCTCTTACTGGCGAGCGCACTCTCGGGATGAAGCCGCCCCAAGATCTGAAGGTACGTTGTGTAAAGCATGGCGCCCACTCCCACGTTGGCAATCAGCGGGGGTAGAACTTGGTCGGGAACCACCCTCCACCCATGATACTGCACCGCCGAGGCGATGAGACCGGGTGTGCTCCCCCTCAAACGGCCCTTGAACCAGCCCCAGGCGGCATTGGAGGAGGTGACGGCGCCGGGGTTGGCGGCAAGGTAGGCGGCGAGCTGCTGCTCTTGAATCGCGCGGGCGTAAGCAAGATAGTCGACCCTGGTGCGGAAGAAGGCTTTGACTGGGGCGCGGAAGTAGAAGGCGATGGCTTGAGAGGTGAGAGCGCGAACGCCGGCGGCCGAGGCGCCGGTTGCTGCGTTGGTGGTGGGGAGTTTA